ACCACCTCCAGAGCCACTGTAAAACAAACAACAACAATATTCAGAATCAATATAATCCATAAAACCATAAATCCTTTGCGTTTAGATTGTTTGTTTTACTTTATGTTTAGTGTATCTTGTTTCAAATAAACTCATAATTCCTACCATTCTAACAAAAAAAATATTGTTTTGTTAATTGTAATGCAAACGCATTCTTTTGGCATTTTCGTGTGCATTATGCAAACTTATTCACATAAAAATGAGATTATTTTCTTCAATATTTTGATTATTTTCAAATACAAAATTGACATTTGGAAAAATGTCGAGGTGATGATAATTATTCTCTATTTATCTTCATCATTAATATGATTCCAAAAGAAGAAGAAAAAAATGGGTCTCGTTATATAAGTCAAGGCAAAAACTTTAATTGTGTGAGTCGAACATATTAAAGCAACTGAATAAAACTCTGAGAGAGACACAAGTCAACAACACTATATGTTCAAACTTTATAATTCCCCATAAAAGCAATTAAATTGATTGTAGATGTGATCTAAAGTTTGGTTTACTTAAAAGAAAAAAAAGAAAAAAAGTAGTGCATTTTTTGACCCAAATCAAGCTTTTGTCCACTTTTTCTGTCTCCCACAAATAGGCATTATAAATTAATCAAATATTTAAGCGCATTAAATACACTTTCTAGATTAAAAGATGAAGAGAATAAATATGTAGAAGCAAAGAAACATACCTTGCACTAGAAGGGAATGCACATCCTGTATAGCCTGTAACAAAAATATTGCCAATCAAGCCAAATTTGATAACATATCACTGAAGAGTAAACAAAATAGTATGAGATTAATGAGAAACTTAACTGGGATCAGTAGTGGTAAGAGTAGCAGTGCCAGTGAAATTACAAGACTCAGAAGCTTGACCTTTCTTTTGAAAGAAGCTATTGACTGCATAGTTACAATGAGCCCTAACATTGTCAGGGCTGAAACAAGATCCTTTTGGGCGTGTTGGGTTACAGTCAGCTCCATTTCCACAAGCATAGTCTAAGGTCTTTTGTAGCACTGAGTCACTCAGTCCTGTTTTGCACACACACCATGAGGCACCTACCA